TATATATATATATATATATATCAAAGACAGCCAAGTAACCGCAGCAGGTAGTAGTTTTACCCGCTAGGATTCCTTATTTGGGACAATTTCGTGGGTACATGTACGGCTGAATAGCGCTATATCGTATGATATGAGCATGCCTTGCCGAGCATAGGATAACCTGCTGTGCAATCGAAATCGGCAGCGCAGCAAGTACTATACACAAGCACAACTAAACCATAGAGCGCCCAGGATCAAGCACCCTCGGACAATAGAAGTTCGGAACTACAGAACGAACAGTACATGAATGACTTCGAGTATATGCTCATACCTTATCGAAGGACAAAACCGGTCTCGCTATATGAAGCCCTGGATTCTGCAAGTGCACCTCCGCGGCTATCCCAGCTAAGCCATCCACGCCACTATCTTTTAGTACCCTGGTCACGACCGTCTCGGCCTAAGACAAACAACAGGACAATCGGTTTATCAGTGCTGTGCGTACTGCAGTGATGTATAGCTGCCGGTGTTTATTTAATACCGTGACTGTCGAACGCTATCACACCCGTATCAAAAGGCCCCTATCTCTCTATTCGACGGACTTGCGTACGTAGGATATGCACTCAACAGAACATTGATAGGAAGGACTAAGGTAAACCGCTCCAATGGTGACTCCTAAACAAAAGCCGACGTCAGAAAAAGGCGTTGTGCAGTGTACACACCCCCGATGGGGAGGTACCGAACATTACGTTCCATATACTCCGGCAATGGATACCAATCAATCACCTCAAATGACACACCCCCTGCACCCTCACATCAGCAGCGGCTCACCTGGTCGTTGATGTTGTGACCTGTCAGCAGAGTAGCATCCCCAACACTCCGACAGTGTTCAGCTAGTAAGCGGTACCGTTCCACCCGCGCCGCTTGCTGCACATTGGTTACTGGCTCAGACCCCTTCTGTGACTCACTCCAGTCGATCGTCAATATGGAGTGGGGCAACTCTGCGGATGCAAAGCGCATTGGGTCATGAAAGATGAAACATGAGCGTGTTACGTTGGCGGTCTTATCGTGGCCTATGAGTCCTCCATAGACACTTCGTAATTGTGTTGTGAACCGCTGTGTGATGTGTGACACAAATAGAGAACAGATTCAAAACCCCTCGCCACAGGCCCGGAGTTGTGCATCTTTCATTGTGTTTGGATATTCATATCTGTGCTGCACTGAGATTTGTATGTACGTTCTGCCGTCCGTAACAGGATCAGTACTCGCGGATGGGATCACTATATGCATCGGTGGCATACAGTCAGAGATCGACACGAATGGACGAGACAGCTACTTGAGCAAAACTAACATATAATCATCAGCACACAGACCTATTGAGGACAAGATGCGCCCCACTTCCAAAGATTCCAGGGCACTCTCAGGCCGAAGCTTGTGATCCACCGTGACAGCGGAAACATGGGTGAAGTACTGCTTCGCAAGGACCGCCAGGCAAAGACTGTCGGAGCCTCCACTGATAGCTACGACTGGAGCAGAGTGCACACCATTGGGCATGTTGTGAGTTTTGGTGAATGTACTTACAAGTTCTTGAATAGAGGCGCAAATTGTACAATGCTATAACAATGCCCTATGAAATGCGCTTGATTACACCGGATCTACATCGCATGCATTGGATGTTACACTTTGTCAAAGATTGTGATTTACTAGAGGGTCTGATCACATTTCAAGAGCGACCGCAATATAAAGACAACTTCACATCCATCCCTATTCTCATGAAGCCTGGGCAAATATTTCGATGCTAGAAAATCATACACACACACAACCACACACACAAAATTACACACACTCACTCACTCACTCACTCACTCACTCACTAACTAACTGATTAAATCCCACCCA